GAAATCAAGTTCTTAAAAAATTGAAATAATGAGCAGGTTCAGTTTGTTTCCGGAAAATATTTGGAAATCAACAAACATAAATAGGTAACATGTTTTTTGGCATGCGCGTTACAATACTTATTTTTTTTATGAAAAGAATGATAACTACGAAATTCACAGCATTGTTACAAACTTAGTCGTTTATATACCAAAAATATATGTCAAAATAGTACAATTTAAACGAAATATCGCCATAACATTGCCAAATATGTCGTATCCTATGACTAGTCATGGCTACAGTGATACTCGCTCGTACCCCTGACAGCAAATCTATGGGCTAATTGTCTAATTACAAAAAGGTATAGCAATTATGATAGTGATTTATGGAATTATGAAACGTTTGAAGTAGCGATTGCTTTGAGAACGAATAATTATTTTAATGACCAAGAAATATAATATTTTTTTTTTTAATATTTGCGTTGTACGTTTGCTTTATAAAAAAAAAGGTCGCGATCACAATTGCATATCACATGTCTAATTATCCTTTCTAAATATTGAAATGTCATTGGGGAGATACTGGCTTCTATAATACAGATAAAACTGGCTTAGAAGTCAGGGCCTCAAATATTAATGTAACTGGTATTTGTACAAATAAAGGTACAAATTATTTGTACAAATTATTATGTTATATAGTTATGGTGTTAAAGTTCATGAATATCTTTCAAATGTCGAATATTATTGTCGGATTGCGATTGAATTTATTAATTTGTCTATTAAGCTTCCGAATGCGCAAATTTTGAGGACTTAAACATAAACATTAATAAAGAACATGTCTTCGAACTATTAAAGTTTGCTGAATTTTGCCAATGATACTTATCTATACGATAAGGAATACATATATTTTTGAAAAGTGCATTTAACATTTGAAAGAAAATATATTCTTAGATTTCGTCTTTTATATTTTTAACGAGTACAATCCAAAAACATTTAATATCCGTGTGTGTTCCAAAATTACAACATCGCGTGTTTTTAATGTGACTATTTAAAATTCACGTTTCATGACAGAAAGTAATGAATTGAGAATACGGAAAACAACATAATATAAATATAATTTTTACGTTTTACGTTAGCAATTGAATAATAATATGTAGCAAGAGCGTCCAATGATTTTAAAAATAACCTTTTATTACGTAAGATCTGTCCACGAACGAACGTAATATCTTTTCAGTGTTTTTATGTAAAAAGATGTGTTTTATCGTTTTGTGGATTGCAGAGTGGTGTCTATATCTTTTTCACTTTCCATTGTAAATCTATATTCCCGAACACGTATAATCCAAATTCCGTCTTTACCCATGGTACAGGGGGTGCAAGGCATCCGGGCGCCGTGCGTTGGGGGCCGCCGCGCCGATGATGGTCTTATATAAATATGTGTAAAAAGTGGCTGTTGTGCTTTAAACGGGCCTGATCCAAATCTATTTGAAGTAAGGTTTCTAGACAAGCTTGTTGCACAGTAAATTTCATCCATTTCCCTTGAAGGTCCATTCTCTTCAAGATCAAAAACCAATATAAATAATATGGGGCAAGTACTTGCGGGACTGGCTCCAAACTAGAACTAACTGACCCAACCACGCGTTGCTGTGGTATAACGATGCACATTGTTTATAAACTCCAACAGCGTTATTATAAACAAGGTTCAGTGTTGGAGTTTACCCTCAGACTACACTTAGTATTAGTCTAAATTCATATTATTAAACAGAAACTTAGCAAAGGTTAACTTAGTACTAGGATCTACGGGAGTAATATTTACTCCTCAAAGGTAGTAAAAAAATTATTATCTCGCACTCCTCCGTGCTTCGAAAAGCACGTTTAGATGTTGGTCCCGTCTTCGCTTGCAGTTATTAATACCCTTCAATCCTCATTAGGAAAGCATGGAGGGTCATGGTCCATCCTTAACAAAGGCCTAAGCCCTTGCAGTAAGGACTTAAAAGGGCTGTTATAATTATCATAAAGAGTATGATATTATTTCAGATCAACTTACAGATTCATGTGAAATTTTATTAAAAAGAATTTGTCAATCAATCGTGATATAAGTATCTCTAAATAGTTTACTAGTGTTTTCCAGCGACTTCGCCGATATGAATTATAACCTTCTCCGTGATTATAACCTATGTCAACCGGGTATGATGTAGCTTCAGGCAGGTAAAAGAATTTTTTAAATCGGTCCAGAAGTTTCATAGTCCACTTTATTACTTAGAAGTCAAGGCCTCAAAAATATTTATTCAGAATAAATAAATAATTATTATGATATTAATAAAGGTAGTTAAAACATGAATATCCTTTTTAATTAATTTAATTTATTACATTCGCAAAAAGCTTGTTAAAGGCTCTTATATATTCTAAAGCATTTCTCACGTCCTTCTTTCCTTGAAACAATATGGGTTTATGTTAATTTTTATAAGTATGTAGGCAGGATACGCTGCAGTACTATTTTAATTTGAATGTAGCATTTAGCTATGTTCACTTAATTATAAAGTGTGGTGAGTGTCACGCAAGGACGCGGAATGGACATCGTTTAAACTGTTGTTTTTTTTTATTAAATTGTTGATGAAACAGAACTTTTCTCTTGTCTTAATAGGTTTATAACTATTTCTATAAACGGCAGGACCCTCTCAGCCAATCAATATTTGCCAAAATCACGTCACAAAATTATAAGTTTACTAAAATTAGTCACGATTACACGAATGAAACAAGTGATTCAAAAGGAACATTTTTATGTATAATACAAGACCACGCGGGTGAAGCCGTTGGCGGAAAGCTAGTAATAACTAAAGTTATATAGTTAATATCTGTTGTGGTTCTATTTGTAATCGATTAGCTATTTTCTACGATTTCGCCCGCGAAAATTAAAGCTTCCAGTAAGTCCTAAAAGTTTCGGAGCCATTCTTCTACATTATTTTAGTATAGATAACCAAAAGAAAGAAAAATCTAACAGTATAAAATTTTTCGTGTCTTTTTTTCATTTACATCATCTACTGTGAAAATTCACCTTTGTATTGGTTACAGGATCACGGACGATATATTGGCGATGGCACGGCCCAGCACTGCCAGTATCGCAGCAAGGAATATCATACAACAATTCCATAGGTTAAACTATTTTTATTACTTACTAGTGATGCCCTACCCAGCTAGAAACAATGCCAGTACCTTTCCATTTATATAAAATAATATAAAATGGCATACCTTTGCACTCTAAACAATAATATTTAAACTTATCATCCTAAAGTATAAATTTAAAGATTTTTGCACTGAAGGAGATGCAATCTCAGGTCTCGGCCTTTTTTAGCGAGATTGATCTCGATCGAAAAATGGGATCTCGCGAGTTTAACAAGATTGCACTCGAGCATGAAAACGATTTATTCTTAGTGCGGCAGCGCGAATTTATGCGAGTGCGGGGGGTTAAAAGGCGAAGTTTTTTACTTTTACAATACTTATGTTTTCAAAAGGGTCTTCTCAGTGGCTGGTTATCTGGCCAGCACAATAATAAGGAGAATAGCATTCTTTGAAGATTCATTGGACATTTTGTGCTTCTTAAGAAGCTACTTTCAAAATTATTTGTAATAATGACGTGTGACGTGAACTGAATAAGCCTTTAAATTGACTGGTATATTTAGTTAATTTATTCTCTAATTTCTAATAAATCTCTGGGTACACATAGTTTTCTTTCATCGATATTACTCTCAGTTTAATAGTCAAGTTTTTATTTTACCTTTTTGTATTTTTGTGATAAAAACTGTGTATTATAATTAAACTTTTGTTTGGTATTAGCAGAGAAGACTGGTTGCTTATTTCATTTCGTATTTGATTAGATACGTTAAAGCTTAGTTTCTTAAAAGTTAAGTACTATGATGATGACTAAGCTTTACCCGGCACTTTAAAAAATAAAAAAAATAAACCTAACTAAATCGATTTATCGCCTCTGATAGCCCCTGCATTTCCGAGATTATAATACAGTACTTGCTCTTTTAAATGTTTTAGATATATAAATATAATTGCGTCAAACCCACCCCTAAAAATAAATGTTCATTCCATAATACCTATAATACCTAAATTGTTTTCCTAACTTATTCAAATATTGTGATTTGAATAAATATAATTATTTGTGATTTCAATAAACATTAAACATACAAAAGTGCCAATCTCGCGAGATCTCGTAAATGGCGAGATCTCGCGGTATTGATATTCATAAACTAGCGAGATCTCACTCTAGTCCCTATCTCGCGCGATTGCATTCCCTAATGCATTGCCTGTTGATCCATTGACCGGTTGATCTGTTATTTCATGTCATAACGACATTATGCGTAAATATAAAAAGTGTGTACCTTTTAAAATTCAACGGTTGCTGTTAATTAATTGATGATTGATAAAGTGGAGTCTAGCAAGATATGAATTTGACAACTGACAATCATCAAGACGAGCGAACTACCAAGACGTCTGCATAACACGGAATTGATACCTTTTTATTTATAGACGTGAAAGATCGTTTATGTAATTTTAATTCTTATTTTACAACTTGTGAATCATATTCAACCCCCATTCTCGTTTTTCTCATTAATAACATTCTCATTCACTCACAACATTATTTTAGTTAGCTAGGTTCTGATTAAAAAGAAATTTTTGGTTTGTTAATTTATCTCCGTCGGGTAAATTGAAGTATATTAAACACGTATTTTTATTTTCTTTGTAGTCAACAAATTACGGGGCTACTTTAAGTTGTAATGTTGCATGACGTCACACCTTTGTACCTTTTCTACATTCCACTCTTTAACTTTAATGGCCATTATCCAAGACATTTCTTGTTAAATTAAAGTAAAAAATTATGTATTATGTATAACATTTTTCTATTATCTGATCGACGGACTAAATATAATATCTTTTTTGCCGATTTATCATCCTTGTATCCACTTTACAGCTGGGGCATCCGAACGGTGATTAACCTGCAGACTCCTGGGGAGCATGCCAGCTGCGGACCACCTCTCACCAGCTCCGGTTTCACCTACGACCCGGCTGTCTTCATGTCTAATGATAGTAAGCTGTATTTAAATAAATCATAGGCTTATCATCCATTTAGGGTTGACTAGTAATAATATAATGTTAATGAAAGTTTCAAGAGACCATAACAGATAGAAAATAGGACCGAAAACTAGTCAGTACATTCTTTATAGGCTAATTCATCTCTTTAAAACATATCATCAATAATAAAATATCATCATATATTTCAATTGCTATAATGTCATGTAACCTGTGTAACTTTCTTTCTTTTTCCTTTTCAAAAATTATATTTTTGTGAACAACGCCACCGTGTAATGGATTCCACATGTAATTGGTAGAATTATCAGAAATCCTTATCCGAGCAAGAAATACTTAATTATTATATTTAATTCATCGCAATAAAATTTTCAGTTTATTACTACAATTTTGCGTGGCCCGATTACGGTGAAGCCAGTCTCTGTGGGATGTTAGATATGGCAAAAGTATTGTCTTTTGCTTTACAAGAGGGCAGAGTCGCTGTTCATTGTCATGCTGGTGAGTTAATTATTGGCAAAAAGTAGGTAATGAATGAAACACTCAAAAATTAAAACGTTAAATAAAAAATGGATTGTTTGTTAGAGCGGAAATATTTCAGCCATTTACTAAGACTTGGTTAACCAAATGAGCTGTCGGCAAAAAATTTTTACACTAAACATTTTTAGGTCTGGGCAGAACAGGAGTATTGATAGCTTGCTATCTGGTGTACTCGTTGCGTGTGCGCGCCAATGATGCGATCCGACTCGTGCGCAAGAAACGGCCAAGCTCCGTGCAGACCTCGGGTCAGATACTATGCGTGCAGCAGTTCGAACACTATCTACTACCTCAAACAGTCGTCTTTAGCTCCAAGTAAGAACATCTACATTTGCTTGCCCTTTTTCTAATTTAAACATATTAAATTAGAAAAAGGGTAAGCAATTATCCGTTATTACAACATTTATTCCTATCAAAACCGTATATTCTCTTTCAGACAGTCTAAGTATTCCATCTTTTCTTCGGACTTACTCTCTTAATATTTCCTTCCATATATTTTTTAAAATCTTGTTTACTTAAAAAATAGTAAGCAATGTTATATTGAAAGCATCATCTTTTATTCAATAATGTTTAGTTAAGCTTATGTTACAATATCTATATAAGTAGGTACGTAAAGATAAACACATAAGATTATAAAACACTTCTCTCTAATTTCGCCAATTTATTTTAAATCTTAATATTTTGACCGTATACTTTAAAATCAACGGGAGAAATTTGGAAAACAACGGGACATATTGTGGTTGCCTGACGTTCAGCCGTCTATTTATTTTGGTAATACTTTTTTTAGAGGGTAAACTAATAATCTAAGTCGCCTAGTACCCGAAAAGTAGGATTGTTGACTTTTAGAATAATAACACCTGTCTTTAATAAAATTATTTTGAGACGCTCTTTATTACGCACTTGCAATACCGCAGCATCTGTCCCTATTCATCTAATTGGCTGTATTGTTGATTTCATCTTGTTTTCTATGCTCGGTTTCCTGATCAGGAATTCCGATTCGGAGACCCGAATGGGCGCCATGATACAAAGTGTACATCGACAAGCACACGTTCGTTTCGTTTTCGGAAATCTGACGATCACATGAGAGACTCGCGTTTGAATCTTTTATCGGAATTCCATATCAGGAAATCAAACACGTAGAATGTATGCGGCCAGGCTTAAGGTTGAGCTTCATCTGGCGAGAAAGATGTAGCCTAACGACTCGAGAATTCCGCGGGGTGCTATTGCACACCCACTTTTTTCTCGCTCTAGCAAAAGGCTGTCCTGGGCGATAGAAAAGGCTATCCTTTGGCGACTGAAAAGTTAATACCGTGTTGCCAGATGAAGCTCAACCCTTACCCAAACTTTATTAAAGTTAGTACCCAAATAAGGCAACCAAAAAGATTGTAAAGATTTATATATGTACTAAGGTTGATTCTATCGATGCCTTCCACGTTATTTTATTTAAACTTATAATATTTTTTGTAGAGAACCAATACATTTGACGAAGAACAAGAGGACATCAGAGTTTACATTAAAACAGTATTTGTATCGACAAAGAGCTACGCTACATGGATTAGACGAGAGAGCGTTCAAATTATTGCCTATGGTAATTTTGTAACTTGATAAAATATTAGATAAGTAGTTGTTGGCACCACTATGCTAGTAGTGATATCAATAGTATTTCTTAAAACTGCTTAGAATTATTTCTTTTTTCTTCCTCTCCTTCTCCTATTTTGGTTCAGGTTTCCTCACCCTTTTGCACCGGGATCTTCTGCCCTGGGTTATCGGCCCTGGCCACTGGATTAGCTCAAGGTCTGCCTTGATTTTCGACTTCTGCTTTTATTCTATTCTTATATGATTAGCATATGTAAAGTTACTATCTAACTAAAATCAGTAATCTAGAACAAAAAGCTAGTAGCACAAGCTGCAGTAGGCAGCAGCAACAACATCATATGACATCAACAATTAATAATGATACTAGAATAACAGCAGTATATAAAATCCCCGCAGCAGTATGCAAAATCCTACTCTGAAGCTCCTTAGACACCATAAATTGCTGCACTCGTCCAGAGATTTTATTTAATTTTGCTGACGAAAAAATAATCAAAAGATCAATTTCTGAATAGTGAGTGTGAATAAAAAAAATAGTGAACAGATAAGTATCTTTGAGTGCGGCAATCTGCAGATAATATGTATTGTTATATTCCTAAGGTTGTGTACAACATATGCGAACGCCTTCTCAGGCTATGCGGCAGTCATCAGAGCGTAGGCCTAGATTTTAGAGTGAGAAACAAGCCGTTCTACAAAAGCTTCCTCGCGTATAGACTCAAACAGGGCAGACCTCCAGACCCTGATACTCCTGAGGATGGACCGATGGGTGAGCTAAATTAGGTTTTATCAAAAAAATATTTGACCAGAAAGTTTTTTCCCTTGATATTATACCGGTTCCCTTGTAAAATAAGCAGAGACACCAGAAGACGTGGACTTGATTGTGCTTCGTTCTACTGTTCTATAGAGCACAATAGATGCCCATACAGTCCAGTTAGTAGAGTGCAGCAGACCCACTGCGTAACTGAGCTTCTGAATATTCTGTCACGTTGATAAATTAACAGATAACAGACCAATCAAAATTAGTCTGTCCAATCTATTTTTGTGTCCTTACTCGATTAACTTAGTGCTTATAATATCGAAGAATATACAATCAATTCCAGAACAAGCATGCATGTTACCAATGATTGAATGGCGTGATCCCGTTGAGGAGGACATCGAACGAAACCTGGAGTCAGTCAGCAGGATCACCGGCACAGCGAATAACGGAAATATTTCAGCACTTAAAGTTTATGAAGTTAGTTCTACTTATATAGAACCTACTAGCATCAGTAACATCAGACTGTTAATATCCCTACTGCTGGGACACAGGCCTTGCCTTTGAATGAAATCGAATGGACAAAACGAAGCTATAACCCAATATGTGAGCCCAATGTGGATTGGCATATTAACGACTATAGATGCAGCCGGGACCAACAGCTTAAAGTTCCTGAGATAATTCGAGATAATCACTTCGCTATCGATCTTCTCAGCTTCTTGTATATTATAATATGGCACATCTAAATTATAATATATGTGAGCAATGCGGTCTGCCATATTTTGGCAACACGAAGCGCAAAAAAAAGGAATAACTTGGAAAAAAAATATAGTGATTAGAAGTTCCGAAGATAAAGCTGATTTTGAAATTAAAGCTCTTCGTCCTAAAAGAAAATATACGATAAGGACAAGTAGGACATAAACGGATAAAAAAAAGTCATTACCTCTAGATCCTCTACATGTAACCTTGACACAGACAACAAAAGTTTTGTAAAATGTACAAAAACTATACATTATAATGGTTAATTACTCAATAAAACAATTTGTTTTTCACAGGGATTTGTAATAGATCACAGCAGTCTTCCAGAAGAGCGACAGAAATATCTAAAAGAGTTAAGAAACGACATAAATCAGAGAAGGGAAGCCATTTCCAAAATAAATGACGAGGTACGTCTAAAGTCGAGCATCTCACGGAAGATTGCGTTAGTACGTGGCAGATCATCAGTCTAGTGTGCAATATTATAAAGAGACTACTAGACCAATTTTTACCAATGACCAATGATTATGAATAAATGACTGTTAAACAAGCGAAAACGATATGTTCGTTTAGTTCTTTCTGACTACGCTCGGGCCGGCATAAAGATAAGATAGAGAACCATTAGTAATTTACTTAGTAAGTCAGTAGCAATTTCATCATATTATCATCACCAGCCCATAAATGTTCGAATGGGAATCGAATCAAGTCGAATAGGAAGTATGGGCCCATCTCTCACCCCACGAACCCAGTGCTGATAGATGGATATTAACGACTGCAGACTAGTAGCTCAGTGGCGTAGCGGATAAGCGCCACGGCCCGCGATCTTTGTCGTTAAGCAACTTTCGCAAGGGTCGGTCACGGGATGGGTGACCAAAAAATTATTATCTCGAGCTACTCCGTGCTTCGGAAGGCACGTAAAGCCGTTGGTCCCGGTTGCATTTGCAGTCGTTAATACCCTCCAATCCGCATTGGGCCAGCGTGGAGGGTCATGGCCCATCCTCCTTAACCATCCATAAGGAAGGCCTGAGCCCCTGCAGTGGGGACGTAAAAGGGCTGATGATGACTGCAGACTTTCCGAAGCTAAGGAGCTCGATATAATTTTTTTTTTGGTTATCCATCCTATAACCGGTAAATGTGACATCTTTTTAATAACCGTATCGTAGACCGAGTGCGCTAACCCCTGCGCAACCGATAGAGTACAAAAAAGGTAGATCGAACGAGTAAAGAGATAATCTTCCAAAGCAAAAGTCGAACCCAAGTAAAAAATGAGTCTAGCAATTTCTCTTTCTTCTTCATTCAGACCCACAGAGGATATTTGTTAAAAAAGTAGGAGTTCGAAGCACATCTTGGACATCTAAATTTTTTGGGAGGTATCGCACTACAAGTTATCCATATTTCAGGAGGATCCAGCGATGTTGTCGGGATTGCTCTTCGCGTGGCTGGAGGGACTTAAGCAACCGATCCTGGATCGAGAAGATTTGTCTATCATTGTGGGGCGTACACACAACGTCGAGGCCTGCATATTGGCATTGCAGATGGTAATAATATCACTCATATTGCTTCAATGAATGAAGGAAACAAAACACTTCATATACCGAGAATAATACAACACTTACCGACACTTTTACACTAGTTATTACAAAAGACACAATTTCTGTGTTCTGTGGTTATTACCATTTTATTATATTTGTGACTCGTGCGCCGGTTTCAATGTCGAAAATCGACATACGTGAGGTATCAATACATATAATAAACTTCTCTATATTCATCAAAAATATTTCTGTTCCAGGAGGATATTATGCTCGTGGAATACTTGCTACGCTTCGTCACCCGTCTTCGACCTTTAGCAGCTGCTAAAAAAGTGGACATCATAAAGCGTCTACTCTCTTCACTGACCCATCAGTGTGTGATGATCAGTGGTCAATGTCTTCCAACACACAAGGACTTCCCTCGATTAAGGGATGGAACTTGCACTCAAGTGACGAATTTCATGCTCAGAATGATCGTGGAGATTCAAAGAGATATGCTCCAAAATGGAAAAGATGACGCTGATGTCGTTATGCCTTCAAGGAGAACTAAAATAAAAGCTTGGAAATAATGACGAGTTTTATTTACATGTATTAATGAGGAAGTATTTAAAAAATATTAGTTCCTGAAATCAAACTAGATGTGCTACAGTACTTTCTTGATTTCTCCATAACAACCCTTCTGGTTTTCTTTCATGTATAAAAGTAAATTAGTTTTCAAAACTCATTAAACAACTCATATTCTATTTGTACTTTTTCGTATTTGTATTGATAGCTAAGTTTCGAACTTTGCAAATTTTAATTTTTTAATACTCGTACGTTAGCTAAAAGGAACGGAAATAACTATCTTTCGTGGTTTTCTGCAATCCTGCAAAAATCAACTTTTGCTAGTCTCCCATCTAGTGGAGGCTCTTTTGTAGTGCTTTTTTTTTAGTACTTTCTCCTTTCTTCAACAACAAAACAGAGAAAACACTAGAACAGCGTATATAAGAAAACGAGAAAATAAAAGACTAATGTAGGAAATGTCACCTTTTTCCATTTTTCCTAAGTTTTGTACTTTCGAATACCGCAGAAATAGACTCATTTGTTACGTTCTTTGAACAAAAGTATTTTTTAAGATATGGACACAATTTTCGAATAATAAGGAAGTATTTAAAAAAAGCATAGTTCCCGAAATCAAACAAAAATCAACTTTTGCTAGAGTCGCCATCTAGTAAGGTGCTTTTTAATGCTTTCTTTTTTAACCTCATTACAGCAAATATAATATTTACGTCATGCCATGCCGCCCCTTAAATACGACCGCCCTAAGCAGTTATCTAATTTGCCTATATAGACAGGTCAGCCCTGCCCTGCTTTGATTCGACTTTTGCTTGAGCGAAAAAGAAGACAACGAAGGAAAATCGAAACGCTTGGTTTTACGATAATGATTCAAAATACCCACCGAAATCTATCCATTTTGATATTAAAACTTATTTCCATATACCTAAATTAACATCGATTTTATTGTACCTTTATTTCTGAATAATAATCATCTTTATAAATAAATAATCTTTCTGAATAAATATTAGGTCCTTACATATGAGATTGGCGTTTTGGCCACTTTAATCACTAATTTCTCCTCCTTGGTTGGTAATGAGGAAATATTAAAAAAAAAAGACATTTGTTCCCAAAATCAAACTGGATGTCGCTACGGTACGTTCTTGATTTCTCCATGACAACCCTTCCGGTGTTCTTTCATGTTTAAAAGTAAATTAGTTTCCAAAACTCAATAAACAAGTCGTATTTGAACTTTTTCGTATTTGTATTGATATCTAAGTTTCAAACTTTTCAAAATCCTGTTCTTTAATATGTTAGTTAAAAGGAACGGAAATGACTGTTTTTGGACCATTCGTTTCCTGCAAAAATCAACTTTTGCTAGAGTCGCCATCTAGTGGAGGTGCTTTTTAGTGCTTTCGTTTTTTTAAATACATCCTCATTCCAAATTTAAATTTATACAGCCATTTACACATGTATTTGTGTTTCGTTAGGCGGCATTCATTTGTTTCTTTTTCTTCTGTTTTATTTACGTCACCTGCATAAATATGAAAAAATTGAAATATCATGTTATTTCGAGCACGAGTTCTACCTTGGTATCAGTGTGGGAAGGGTTACTGATGTGTATGGCGGTTGTATCGCAAAAGAAAACACAGTGCGTTTTTGGTTCCAACGTTTTCTTTCTGGAAATTTCGATCTGCAGAACAAGTCTCGTGGACGGCCGGAGACCCAAATTAATAATGAAGAATTGAAGGCTATTGTGGAAGCAGATCCATCGCAAACCACGTCTGAGTTAGCTGCAGGCTGCGGTGTTAGTGATAAAACTGTTTTAATCCACTTGTCGCAAATTGGAAAAATTAAAAAGCTTGAAAGGTTGCTTGGGTACCTCACGAATAGAGTGAAGCAAACCGGCTAACGCGCTTCGACTGCTGCGTTACATTACTTAACCGGCACAATGATGAAGGATTTTTAAATCGAATCATTACCTTACCTGTAATGAAAAGTGGATTCTCTACGATAATCGGAAGCGCTCATCGCAATGGTTGAACCCTGGCATGCCAGCCAAATCCTGCCCCAAGCTAAAATTGACCCCAAAAAAGTTACATGTACGCGTTTGGTGGACTAGTGCCGGTGTCGTTCATTACAGTCAATCTGGCCAGACGATTACGGCAGACGTCTATTGTCAGCAATTGCAAACCATGCTGGAAAAAATAGCTGTTAAACAACCGAGGCTGGTCAATCGCTCTACGCCACTGCTGCTTCGCGACAACGCTAGACCACAAACTGCACAACAGACGGCTACCAAATTAGAAGAGCTTCAATTGGAATTGCTCCAACAAATTAAAATTTTTTTCGAAATTCGGATAACTTCTTGAAAGGGAAAAAATGCAACTCCGATAGGGCAGTGCAAATCGCCTTCAAAGATTTTATTGATTCCCGTCCGAATGGTTTTTTTAGTAAGGGGGTCAATAAACTTCCTACGAGATGGCAAAATTGCACAGATAACAATGATTTATACTTTGATTAAAGAAAAATATTAAATTAAAAAATATTCGACTCTTTGTTCCTCCCATACCAAACACTAATTTCATATGTAAGGACCTAATATTATGGCTATTATTATAGCTTGCTACATAATCAATTTACTTAAATAGATTCTTTTATGTGTCGTCACGGCAACTTTCGATTTTTAAAAATACAAATAGATACTGTTTTACGGAACAGTGATAAATATCACATGACTAAACTGCACGGCACCTAGCGGTAGAGTAGTACGTACTCGTGACTTAACTTTTTTGACGTTTGCGTTCGTGTCATCGCAGTAAACAGTACACGTACTCGTTTTTTTGTAATTTTTATCCACAATCTTATCAGATTTCACTGGTTTAGTGCATTTTGTTATTTATTTTAAACGGAAAATGTCGTCAACTGAAGATACTTCACAGCTGAAAGCTGGACATCCACCAGCAGGTATGCTGTGTTGTAAATAAGTCTTTGTTTACATGATATTACTATTTAGTTAGACTATAAATCGAATGCAAGCGTTTGTTTGAGGCTTGCCTTTGTTTCAAGAACCATATGGACTTTTTTTGATATTTCTTAGCCATTAATTTAACCCGAATAAAACATAAGGTAATAAAAAATATTGAAAGTTAATGTTTCCAATTATTGCGAACCTTGAAATTTACCTGAACTATGACGTCATATGCAATCGCCACGGCTTGATTAGGTGTTTACTACAGGTAGAATATTATTACACAAAGAAGTGTGCTTTTCAAGGCCAAGTGACCGATAAATTTCAATCAGTGTACAAACCAAAGAACAGAAATATGATATCTGTTCTAAATATCATATTACTTTCAGTGAATGGTTTCGAAAGACTTGAGCATTAAGTATCACATAGATAACCTTCTGTTGTGTATTTAGAACCATACTGGAAAATTTTAATCAGATAAATCTCTGTACTATAATTATTTGAATTCATATAGATTATGTTACTAAGATATATGCAATTATTAAAAAAATCTATGTTAACACTTTATGATTCTTTTTGATACATCTTTTACAAGTATCCACCTCACTTGTTTATTTACATCATTAAGTTCTATCTTCTATCTGTAAGGAATTTTCAAATTCATAATCCCTAAGGAACCTTACAACAGTGCATAAAAAATGTCTAAGTTTGAAATATAGCATTTAAATTTAAAGTCATTAAATTATTCTGTGAGAAATCCTATTAATATTATAAATGTGAAAGTTTCTTTGTTTGGATGTTTGTCGGTCAATCATGCCAAAACTGCTGAACGGATTTTGATGAAATTTGGTATACAGATAGGGTATTAGTTGACTTAGATGAAAGAATACTTTTTATCTCACTTAACATTTCCCTAGGGTCCACGCGGCGAAGCCGCTGGCAAAAGCTAGTACATACATAAAATACAAACTACAAAGATCTTATTCTATGTTTTTAAATATGATAATCTACTGACTACCTTTACAGTGAAAGCTGGTGGCATGAGAATCACACAACATAAAACGCCTCATGCGAAAGACCCCAAAGAACCAGCAAATGAAGACTTAACGGGGCTCTCTGGCCCATCACCAGTGCCGTCCAACCCTGTATCAATCTCTGGAGCACCTAACAGGGGCAATGCAGACTTCACACCGGAGGCTGCACAAGTAGCACATAGTCCGAAGCCTCCAGCTCATATCAACATTAAGCCCAGCCCACACATCCAACAGCCCAGAAAGTAGACTTAAATAAAGAAGTTGGATAGGCATACCAAAACTCCAAATACACATTAGGTATATATTAAAAAATATATATATTTTAACTACAGGATTAACAAAAGTATAATGTAAGAATATATTTAACAATCAGGAAATTATAATAGCAAGTCTAAACATTAATGAAATTTTTATCAACTAACAATCAATATTTCTTCACAGCTGTTCAAATATCACTGAAACATTCCTATTCATGTCATTACTAAATGTCGAACTTAAAACGCCTCATGCGAAAGACCCGAAATACGAAATAACTTGACTGGGCTTAAACCAGTACATTATGCCAATTGGACCCTGCTATTCCAACGAGCTGCAGGAGATCTTAACAATATTATCGGGGTCTCTCATATGCTGCTAAAAATTATTTTCACAGTAATGTCCTGAAAATAAAATGTTACTACAATCATAGCATAACATTCACGAGTTTGCTACTCAAAATCAATAACAAGTTTAAAAAAAAAGTACTAATACAAATTAATTGCATATGATATTGTCTGTATATGTTGTGAAATCAATACATGATTATATTATCTATCTAATGTGTATAATATGCCTGACCTAGTGATTAGATTGGTATAATAAGAATTGCATACATAATGAATAAGTTCAGAATTTATTTGTTTTAGACATGTACTTAGATCTTACTATAGCAACCTAATCTATAAACTATGCTCTATAAATATAAAATACTTGAATAATTTAATAGGAACACTCACCTATTTTTAAATAAGAGTTATAAATAATCATTGTTATGCAAATAAGACCTTAATTGGTGTTAAAAAAAATATTAAATATTTTAGAAGTGTGTAAAAGCTCAATAACAAAAAAGTATTTTAAGCATAGAGATGTTTCTGATTATAGTTTCCTACTTAATTTGTAACTATTATATATAACAATAAATTACATGACCTAGTTCTGGTTTCCAACATTTCATTGCCATAAACAGATAAACTGCGACATAGCAGTTAGGAACTTTTATTTACATAAGTGTTTTTAAAGTACCAAACTTCAAATTTGTTAGGTATTGAGCTTAAGGTCAAAAATATATCAATTAAATTTTTATCTAAAAACCTCTGATTGTGAGTGAGAATGTCCTTCTAGACTCATGGTTCAATTATGGATAAGAGACTTTTTTAAAATAGCAAATTTAGCACATTTTTATGTTTATAATGAATATTGATTTGGTAAGATTTATTAAGAAATTTTATCTGTTTTCAAATGTTTATAGTTTATCTATTCATACGTTTGGTGCTATGATGATATATGATATCCACATTGAACTAGTTTATTGCATTTTATCAACATTCCTATACTGATTTGCAATTTCTTTTGATAGCAGTGACCACTTCATTCTTTATAAATAGGAGAAATATCTTAAGCAGTGTTAATTGTTTAATTTTTTTCTTTATAATTTGCTTAATTATTTTTCTTTTCTTATTTTTAATAAAATAAAAAGTTTACAAACTGTTTTATTTATGCTCTTCTTATATAATAAAACTAGCCGTTTGTCCGCCACTTTGCTGGCATATGATGTGTCGGATCAGTACCTATATCTGAAGATAACCCCCTACAAACAAAACGGGTTAAAAGCTGTACCACTATAATACAAAAAAAGAGAAGTTAGATGGCGTAGTGGTTAGCACATTCGGTCTGCGATACGAAAATTAAGCAACTTGCGAGGGCCGATCATAGGACCAAAAAATTTTGTAACTTAAGCCCCGTGCATCGGAAGGCACGTTTAATCGTGGTCCTGGCTGCTTTTGCAGTCGTTAAAGACTGCAGAAGCAGCCACCTACCAGCGTCCAGCACCCACCAATCAGTTAGGCCGTGAATGGTGATCCATGGCACATTCACCCTATTCGGTTTAATTCGATTCCATCCTTAGGGAAGACCCGTGCTCCAGCAGTTGGGACTTCACTAAGCTGATAATGGTGATAAATATAAAAAAAATCTTCACAATATGTTTTATTCAAAGATTCTTATCAAATACAATATACATATAATAAATAGGTATGTACGTAAATCTTTATAAAAATAAAAAAATAAACTATAAATCACCCATTCATCGAAGTTTTCTTCTGTTTTGAAAACATAGTGTTGTAGAGCTGTAATAAAACAATCAATTATCAAATACTATGTTTGATACGATTATTTATATCTAAACAAAAATTATTTTATTTTAAAATAAATTATCAATATATTTTATTTTATTTTTTGCAAAATAGACTTGAGATTACTAATCTGTAGAAAAATCCGAAACGCGCATCATATGACGTCACATTTCAATTACCCAAATGTCAACGTCTTAGTTGCGACGCCCATTATTTATTGAAACGTGTCGTCACGGCTCGCAATGTCACACGACTGTTTCATAACCTCTGAGTAGTTTAATAATTATGATCACAAGAAAGTTTTAAAATAATTTCCCAAATCATCCAATTATAATGTTAAGTCTTTAATTTAAAATGTCTATCCCGCTTACGACTTAATAATACAATGATGAATGTTCTCAAAATCTCAATCGATGCCTAACTCTAGCATAATTCTAGTCATAAGGTACGACATCTTAGTGAAGATAATATCTTACGATATTTCGTTTCATTTTACTACTATGACATTTCTTTTGGTGTATATATTTGTTATAAATCATTAAGTTGGAAACACTGCTGTCACATCCATATTCATAATTATTTATCGTTCGTTCGTCGATATTATAGTAATCGCTAAGATGTCGTATCCTTTAGCTAGACTTAGGCGGTCGCACCATGCACTCTACTCTTCCTAAAAAGTACTTACCTCTTCTTCTGATTCGGCGTTAGCTGGCGTCCCTTGTGTTGAGGAAGGCGCCAGAGACGCGTCAACTGCACGTGCCTCATCTGAAAAATACATTTATTTTTATGTAAAGGAAGAAACAGCTAAAATAATTATCAAGAAAACTTTACTCACTAGTATCTCTTTCAAGCTTTTCGGGTTGCTGAAAAATAACATTAATTATAATAAACTAGTCGTAAGAATTGTGAAACGTGACACCTGTAGGCCTATTCTCAAAATCGAAATTTCGTCTATTTTTGAAATGCTAATATGACTCCAAGGAATCATTTTTTTTCTATAATAAACGATGTTATGAAGATAGGGACAAGCATAGCGACCTTAAGGCAATATAAAAATACTAATTATTAAAAAAATATAATTATCACTAGATGGCGCTACTACTTATTCAACATTTCTGTCAATAATAGGGTATTTGACGCTTTTCTGAACATTATTTTAAATGGTTCTTTGATACATTTTAAACACACTGTCAATATATTTTATGACAATCTGTTCTATTTTTGATGAAAGTAATTGTTAAAGTTTAAATAGGCAAAATCGCGCAAAAAACGCTGCTTTATGTAATGGCGCTGATCACGTGGTATTTGTGACGTCACATGCCAGTAAATATGTCAAGGCGACATAACCTATTTATCAATTATTTATTTACAAAGTAAACAAATAGTATTACAGAAGAGAAATTGAAGTTAAATTATATGTCTTGTATTTATATCTACTCTGGTTTCGTTTATAAAAATGAGCTACAAATTTTAAGTATTAATACGAATTTTGCGTATCTCCAATAACTCTGTTTTGACATGACAGCTTCCGGTTTATGTGTGACGTCACATGCCAGTAAACAGAACCTGTTATTGGTTGCGACGATAACCAATCACGGGGCGTTTTCGTCGTTCATTTAAATTCTTTAAAATGTTGTATTTCTTTATGTTCTGTTACTAAAGCTGAACATATGTTATCTCCACATTCTAAGTAATAAACTTAATCAGATTATTATCTAACAGAATAACTATAATACGCAAGTTGCGTATTATAGTTATTTTTTTTTTTAATAGTGTCAAATTCCCTATTGTTGCAAAACGAAAACGCCAAATGGATCAAAGACATTAATTTTTGTCCCTGTATACGAAACATATTAAAAGAAACATGAAGAACTCAAAATAGACAAAGGTTTATTTAATAATTTTCGAAACTCAAGATCAGATTGAACAGTACAAATGTTAAAAATATGATTTGATGATTAAGATTTCGAACTTTACCTTCGCATCAATAAGAATTGTTAATTATAAAAAAATACTGTTGTGACACTCACCATGTCAATATCGCTAGGTTTGAAGTATTTGGAAGTGGGATCGCTTGGATCCATTCCCAGATTTACTGTAAAATAAAAAAATCTCTAAACTTTATCATATAACTGGTTGTTTTCCCGCAACATTTTCGCGACGAAAAACACTGCCTTTGTTACCCGCGTATGATGCATCTTCCCGTAAGTTAATGAATTTTTAAAATGGGTGCAGTAGTTACAGAGCATATTCAATATAAACAGCCACACTACTCTTACGAATTAACATGACACCTGAAAGGCTTATTATATTTCTCCGAAACTTCATCTATTTTTGAAATGCTAATACAACTTCAAAGAAACGCAGTTTTAGATAATTTACGAAGCATCGGAGGTAGAACCTGACGCTACCTCAGATGCAGAGATAATTTTTACGGATATGATTTCAACAGAATTATAAAAACTATTCGTTTTTTTTAATTCGTTTGAGGACAAATATAATAGGCACTCAACAGACCTATTCGCTTACTCAACAGACAACTTAAAATCATAATCATCGATTAAAGTAAGCAATTTCAATGTGTCAAAACCACTTACTCGAATTTTCTGCCAATTACTTGCAATTTTGAAACGTCAATATCCGCGAATACCGCTGAACTCCATTTTGACACTTGATCTTGTATCGTTAAATTATGAAATAAACTAAGGGAAATACTGGATTCTGAAATACTGGATTATTTCCATAAGGGCAACGCTAATAATTAAAATGAAGAATAAGATACCATTATTTCGTATCCCGGAAGCATTAGTGACCACGAAAGTGAAATTCAATCAGTAATATTATCAATTTTTTTTTAAATATAGTAACTGGCTAAGGATTTCTGATTTATTAGAAATGAGTTACAAAATACCAAAACCGAACTTGCTATGTGAATAATTTATTTCGGTTATCCTCGGACCAAGTTAAAGAATAAGGGGGCAGGTGTCATGTTAATTCGTATATGTTATATGTACAATCAAATCTTTCCTTGTTATAATATATTAGGGTAGATATATTGTTATTACTATTCTGTTTGTTCCAGACTGATTCTCTATAGTTGACGCGGCGTGTGCCCCCTCTTCGTCTCTTCCCGCGCATCCGCTGTCTGCCGCCGCCACGAGACTCGTTTGAAAATTTATGAATCACTTTGTGGTATAAACAGCGGGATGAAGCGTTCGATACCTATCATTTAATATATAAAAATAATATATATTAAGACAAAATCACATGCATTTCCAAGATCCCAAATTACAATAAATAACAAGCAATTGGTTACTCGACAGTAATAAAATAACATATTATGGAATATGTTGGAAACGGTAACTTATAAAGTAAACAATAAATTTGGTATTTTTTGTTTGAAAATAAATAGTGAGTATATTTTATATTTATAAAAATTAACTAGCGATTTATAATCTGTTGATTACAAGATCCATGACGAAGCATCGAGTGACGTAACATTTCAATAAACTCAACGCCAATGTCTTACTTGCGAGTGCAACTAAGACCTCAATTTTTTTTTTTTTTATAAAATGGAGGGCAAATGACTGCGCTCCACCTGATGGTAAGCGGAGGCGCAGTCCAAACGCGAGGACAGCTAGTGAAAACAGTACGTAGGTACTGCACTAGCCAAAAAATTCAGCAATTTTTTACGTAATAATCGCATCTGAATATAAAAAATAGGATGTATTTCAAATTTTGCCATTGTACTATCCACCTGCAATATTTTATTATATTTTCTCACAAATCTACAGTGACTATTACTTTTAATTTGTGATCTAGTGACAAGAACTGTGTCATAAAGGGTTGTAGTTAAACGCTATTGACTCCATAATTTTGCTAACATGAGCAGAATTTCTGTAATCATATACAGCAAGCAATTAAAACCACTCTCCAAATTTGAGTATGTCAATCTTTACGACAAATAATGAAATACGTGTTTTTTCTTTTTATGTCGTTTAGAACAAAAATGTTGAGTTATATCGTCACCAAGTTATTTTCAAAAAACCTACATTTGTGGACGCTCTCGCTGCCCAGTACATGCGCTTTACGCGCTACGTTACACTTACCCCTTGCCGCAATTCATTGATAGTAATAATAGCAGCTACCTAAAATGTTTTCGTTTTGTCATGCTTGGGGAAATGATAAATAAAGTTGAAACCTCTTCATACTTTTACGGGCTTAGGACCGTCAAATTGCATAAATCCTATTAGATACCTACTATTACAATAGCTATACTGCTTCAAATTTATAAAGTAAGTAGGTAAGTAAATATCGAGTTACCTAAAATTCTGTTTAGTTAAACCAATTCAAAGTAGGTACTTAACTCGCTTTTCTTTTGCAATCAGGCGTATTTAAAAAATCATCAACTTTACATAAAGTTGATGATTTTTTAAATACGCCTGATTATGTATGTACATACATAATCAACTAATCAATTTACCTACCTACTTTAACTATTTACCTACGTATACTTTAATAATTGTTCAAAGTACATACCGTTCCTCTCCAAACAGAGTCTTGCACCTTTTCTGCACATTGTCTTTTAATTTTGCGAGCACTACCGTGCCATTTTTCACTTGGTAAAATGCCGCTCTGATTTGCACTTTTAAGCCCTCGAGGCTTTGTGCTTCCTCAACATACACGTCTTTTAATTTCGCCCCACAAATAAAAGTCACACTGTGGTAGGTCCGGCGATCGCGCAGGCCCCACGATGGGGCCTCCGCGTCACATTGATCACCATGTATGTAACACTGCACCATTTCATAATATTCGCGATTGGAATACATTACGACGCGCGAAATGTGGCGCTGCGACGGGCGGTGCGCAACACGGAAGCAAAGGCGGAAGCGCATGCGTTCAAAGGGGTTGTGCGCGGGCGACTGACTGATGTGCGCCGACAAAATAAAAAACCGAGCAGACATTGTTGTTGGCGCATGCGCGTGCATCCCCTGCGCCCGCGCCCTTGCTACCCCTGCTGCCTTGTTTTATTCATAACTAATGTGACAATGCGAATGTTATAATTATCTTGTAATTGCAATAAGTTTACATACCGTTTTTTTTTCATATATGTGATCTATTAACGATACCTAATGCCTAGAAAAAATTTGGAGAGTCATTTTAAATGCAGCCGGTATATTGAAATGTGACGTCACGGCTCGAAATGTTATATGACTGATTGTTTATTAAATATCATAATATGAAAGACTAAAAAAACATTTTACAAGACAGTCGAGTAGCCAGTCAATAGTTAAATATTCCCTATTCACAAGACTATTTTTAATTAAACCTTTATTATTACAATACATTTTAAAGAGCATGAAATAAATACCAGTTCACATTGTAAGTCGTCCAATTCGTCCTCCATGATGTCCAATTCGTCGGTATCCTTCGCAGGAATGATGAGTAGCTTCGTCTCCGGGCATGAGCTCGACACGATCAACTGAGACGACTTTGGAAATACTAAGCGATGCGCTGTCCTATGTAAAAACTTTTATGTCTGAGAACACTTTGAAACAATAGTCTTCTTAGACTGACAAAAATGACGGCCGTGACAAAAATGTGCAAGAGATTTCTAGAATTTAGAAAACTCGTCCACGTTTTTGTAACGAGCTCTTCGTCTATAAGTGCATACGCCACATTTCTTCTCACGCCACGAGACTCACTATATAAATATATAAAATGTTATATTGTGTTTATATTCATATCAATTTCAATTCACGCTAGCTAAAAAATGTTGAACTATTCAAAAGTACTATAGCTATGGCTAGCGATACGTATCGTTTATATTCAACGCTCACATAATACTTTAGTAAATGCCTATTTGATTGGATGCAGTAGGAATAAACTATAATTAAGTTTTTATTATAACTATTACCATTAATGAGCAGGGCCGGATTTAGGGAGGAGCGAGTGGGGGCACTAGTCTCAGGGGAGCGCGATAATCATAGAAATTCATACACATCCTCCGCACAGAGCGGGGGAAGGGTACGGGCGCACTATCAAGTTTTTGCCTCGGTCGGAAAAAGTCGTAGATCCGGGCCTGTACATAAGTAACAGACAGATGGAACCAAACAAACGTACCTAGGAATGTAGCAAGGCGGCTGAAACACTTCTCTAGTGACCATGTCTTGACAGATACCATCTATAAGAACTATATCTTCCATCAGCTCGTTTACAACGAAAACCTGTTATCAGTAACGCGACTTATTGAGAATTTAATTAAAGTAAACCTCGTCGTTATGGATATCTACAAAAATTTACTAGTCTTAACTTAGTTTCCATTAATTTTTACTCATGTCATTAAGAGTTAAAATTTCTAGCTTTTTTGTTTGTTCCCAATCTACGGAAACACTGATACAATCATGAAAATTATTTCACCTACGGGAGCAGGTGATACGCGGGGAAGATGTTGGGAAAACATTTAGACACTAATGAACAGATTGACGTATTAAATACAAATTTCAGTAAGGCTTTAGATCGGATGTCCCATGACCTTCTGATAAAGAAGCTTCAAACCTATGGTATCGATAATCCTTTACTTATATAAGTCGTTGAAATCTTATTTATTTAACCAATCGTCATTTTTATGTCGTCTTTAATGGCTTTCAGTTTAAATATAGTAAAATTTCCTCGGGTGTACTACAGAAATCCCACCTAGGACCTATTTTATTTAATATATTTATTAACGACATAATAGCAAGTTTTTTAACTCCCTTTTTATTTACCGATAAATTAAAATTTGTAAAGGTCATTAGAGTCAGGAAAGACACTTAGCAATTCAAGAAGACTTAGATAGACTGGATCAGTGGCGTTATATCAACATGATGAAGATTAACTGTGACAAGTGTTTTTCCATGATAATTTCTAGGAAACGGAGAGTAGTTCCATTTGATTATCATATAAGATATATTGTTATAAAGGAAAGGGTGATTTAGGGGTGTATATAGATAGTATATTTACATTTCGACCATATATGGACCATATTGTTAAGAAGGCATGCGGAATGTTGACATTCGTCATACGTAATGCAAAGGCTTTTCGGAGAGTGGAAACTAAAATGCAACTGTACAATTCACCCGTACGTATTATTTTAAAATACAGTTTCATGGGTTCGGGTTCCATCTCAGAGTGCCAGGGACAAAGTGGATTTTTTAAACATTTTTCATTAAGAATATTTTTCAGAACAGCATTGTGAATGCAAAATTGATCATATATAATCTGGAGACCACATTTTACTTCACATTCTCTCAGAATTGAAAGAATTCAAAAAAGTTTCTGTCACTTAGCATATTCTGAAATAATGGCAAAAATGTCTTCCTTGAGACTTGAGCGGTTTCATGTGATGGAACTTGACAAACGTAGGGATAGATTGGATCTTATTTTTCTTTACGAGCCACTACGTAATCAAATAGATTGTCCGAATTTACTAAGTCAAATAAGATATAGAGTACCTTTCAAATATCCGAGATGCCATACGAATTCAGTCAACAGCTTAGAAAAATAAAATTTGGTATGAACTCACCCATTTGCAGAATTTGCAAACTTTATAATTTAAACATCAATCATTTAGATGTGTATGCAGATTTTTTGAGAAAAATTAAGTGATAATTATCACTCAAGTATTTTTTTTTATTTGTAATTATTATTGTTTTGATCTTTGAGTTTCTTTTTTTTTAATATTGTTAGTGAGTTAGTTACATTCTTCTATTTTATATGAGGTCTTTTATACATTTCGTTTTAAATGTTTGTACATTTTGTACATTTCGCCACTAAACTTTATACCAAATAGACATAACTATATGTATTAATTAGCTGTTAACTTATAAAGTAAACAATAAAAATATAAATAGCTAGTCGCATATAATGCCATTATTTATATTATTGAGTCAGATACTGCAAGGGCTATATTAATTAATTATTAAATGTAATAATTGTAAGTAGTTATTCTCTCTTACAATTCATACATCGTTTCTTTAATCTCTTTCCAGTCACGCTCATAACCATCATTTCAACTGTAATTATGGCTTCAGTAACCTTGAATGCTTTAAGACACGGCACGAAGCTATGCTCCAGACGCATGCTGAGCTTCTCCACAGACCACCCATGGTACGCAGGTACAGAGGGTAGTATCATCATAGAAAACTTTATGCCGATCTCTCGCCACATCGCTGCTTCTAAACTGAAATAACCATCCGAGATGTCTAGTAATAAGTAAAACATTTCCGATAGCATTTTAAAATAAAATATATTTAAAAATAAAAATTAAAAATTAAATTTTACTAGTAAAAGACTAAAACCACAATTATATTGCCACGCCATGCCCGGACTAGGGGAGCGACCGCTTAGTTAGGAGAGAAGAGTTCTCTAGCCATAGGATACGATATCTTATAGATGTTATGGCGATATGTCGTTTATCTTATTTCTTTGACATGTCTTTTGAAATTACAAATTTGGTAACGCTGCTATCATATCCATTATCATCATTCTTTATCATTAATTCGCCGCCAATAAAGAACATGTTAATGAGCTTGATATAATGCCGGATAAAATAACTCTGTTTTGACCGTTCTCTAACCCTCATCCTTAGTCAACTAAATAAAATGTGTCATAAAGGGTTAAAGTTGAAGCACAACTTACACCCCATAATTATGCTAACATAAGCAGAATGAGGAAGTATTTTAAAAAAACATTAGTTCCCGAAATCAAATTAGATGTCGCTACGGTACGTTCTTGATTTCTCCATGACAACCCTTCCTGTTTTCTTTCATGTTTAAAAGTAAATTAGTTTTCAAAACTCAATAAACAACTTATATTCTATTTCTACTTTTTCGTATTTGTATTGATATCTAAATTTCGAATTTTTCAAATTTCGGTTTTTTAATGTGTTGGTTAAAAGGAACGGAAATGACTGTCTTTAGTCCATTCGTTTCCTGCAAAAGTCAACTTTTGCTAGAGTCGCCATCTAGTGGAGGTGCTTTTTTAGTGCTTTCGGTTTTTTTTAATACTTCCTCATTTCCTACTGTACTCATATTTAATGAAATATAACGTCAAAGCTCAAAATGTCAGGTAACGAATTGTTTTTGTGGGACGATAAAATAAATCTGATAATGATTTGATTGAATATTTACCCATGAATAGGATGTGGAGCCAGGTTGAATGCCTCTTTGATAATTGGCATGGTGATAAAATACGCTTGTACCGCTGAGTCACACCGCACTGTATAACTGTACGGACGATTTGTGAGAGCCTACGTGAAAGTAAAATATATGTAATTTTTACTCTAATAATAATCGATCTACAGCAATAATCCGACCAACAAATTGGATAAAAATTACTCGTTAAACATTTAGTAAATTATTTTTTATTACTATATTAAATATTTATTACGTCTTATATTCGAAGTATTAGACTAAACAGCTTAACTTGAAAATAAAACAAAAACAACAGTTTACTCGAGCCCAAATTAATCTGCAATTACTTATGCTCTAAATTCGTTTTGTGACCGTTTGCGCTGTAATGTCACAAATGTGAATCAACGATTACAAATTTAAATAACTTTTGTGATCGATTTTAGATTTCAAAGTACTGACTGATTTAGTACTTTAGATTTTATAGAAATATACTTAAAAACATCACCAACCCCATGTCCCCAAAATTAATAATTAACCTTTCACAACCTGGGCGACCGCTTTAACTGAAAAGGTTATGCTATGAATCCTATCGTCGGTACCTGGACCTGATGATTTTTTTATAGTGTATTGATTGCGAAACGGTTTATAATGTAGAAACTAAGTAGGTTTTAATTTCAAATTGCCTAGATTCTTACCCTAGGACAAAATCAACAGTAATCTCACCCCAAGCACGCCCACTGCGTTGCCAGACACTATGAAGTCCTGACTAGGGTCTCCAAACTTCAGATCCGTGAGGAACTCATAATTCGGTATCGCCTCATCCATATCCCCATCAGGTGGTTCATATGTCGCTTCTAGTAAGCCTGACACTAAGACGTATATGCCTTTGGGTTCATCACCTACGAGTAAATCGTCATTCTTAGTGAGTATACAATAAATAAGTAGATAGATAAAAGTTTATTTATCGATACTCATTTAAAGAACTGTTAGATGGAAAAAGATGCCAGTAATAATTTCCTATCTGGGCATCTCTATCTGTTAGTTAGCTGTCACTGTCACTTTTGACTTTGATGTTTAAACAGTTTCGCGCTAATACTTCCGGGTTCTCATTCTTGTAAAAGTATTGGAATCGACATGGTCATTTTAAATATATCAATTGAAACTAAAATGTGTCTTTCATTAAAACCAAGATAGTACATATTAAAAGCCTAGAACTGCTTATAAGGTATGCCGCAACACTACAATTTGCAGTGTATTGACTTGCCTAATATTGGTCCACGAGTTTGCCTACATGAACTTCATAATGTAATCTGATACCTGATAAGTCTAAAGAGGGTGTATCGCGTATATATCGATACAAAAGCGCGTCGAAATCGCTTCAATAACGTGATGTGTACAGGCCCTAAGGAGTCGTGGGGCTACAACTTAGCTTCTAATTTCATCTTTAATTTGCCTCCCAAAAATCTTTGATTTGCGCTACGCTATAGGCCAAAGGAGGATCCACCGTTGTGTTTGTGATAAGCTCTTCTACATCCCTAATAGAGTTGTGACGTCACAATTTAATGGTCTGTCGAGATCAATTGGCCACGTGAAATATACAATCAACTGTACAAAATCTTGATTACTATGACTGCAATATTTTGAGGAACATCTCCTTCGCAAGGATGCACTAATTTGATCAGGAGTTCATACTGCGACTCGCACTTGACCTATTTTCGGGTGGTATTGACCACAGCCTTATTTGAGTGCTGGATCCGCCCCTGTCCCTGACCCAAAATTGTATGGTTGTCTTTTTTACCTCTAGATAGAAGGATGTCATTGTAATTGAAGTTCAGTATTGAAGAGTTCTCAAGGAAGAAGTCAGCTACCCTCTCATTGTTTTGCATCCACGATACCGACCGAAGCTGAGTCTGTTTAAATTGAACACTATACTATAATGAAATGATCATTTTTAACTACCGCACTAAAGAGCTCACAGCTGGACGTAAATTACCATCATCAACATAAACCCAATAATGTCTGCTGATGCAAAGGCATCCCCTATGGCTAGAAACGAATAGAAATAATGAGCCATGACCACGCGGACCCAGCGCAAATTAGTAAAAGTTATCCACTGCAGCTGCGACTAACGACTTAACGTACATACCTTTTAAAGAAAGAAGCATAAACAATACATTTTTAGTCTTGCTTAAGCTCCATATCGTAGACTTACGTAAATTGAAATATCATATTATTCGACTCACCTCCGGCGTAGATGGCGCCACTAAGCTACCTTTGTGTCTACACAACTGAATTTTCTCTTGAATGGCATTTAACAACAGACGGTACTCCATTTCATCTAAGAAACCTGTAGAGAAAATGCTTTCAGATATCTATTCTATAATAATTAACCATTAGTTATTTAGTAACTCGATGGCGCAGTGGTAAGCGCGCTCGATCTGCGATATAGTTGTTAAGCAACTTTCGAAATGGCCGGTCATAGGATGGGTGACCAAAAAATATCTCGAGCTACTCCGTGCTCTGGAAGGCGCATTAAGCCGTTGGCCTCGGCTGCATTAGCAGTCGTGAATACTCTAAAATCCGCTCCAGCATGGAGGGTCATGGCCCATCATCCTTAACTATCCATAAGGAAAGCCTGAACCCCTGCATTGGAGAAGTAAAAATTACTAAGTAGTTTTACTTACTGTACTTAAGTATTAAGCGTAACAAAACTTGTACATTTTTGTCTCTATCTAGTTTTCCGATTGCGGGCCGCGGCACTTATCCACTACGCTACCGAGCATAGACCAAGGGTATACATTCTACATCACTCAATACACAATACAGAGGTCAGATTAATTAATATCAGCTTATGGATGTCTCCACTGCTGGGGCCCAGATCTTCCTTTTGGATGGAATCAAGTAGATATTTAAACATTTAGAGTTAGTTGCACTTACTTAATTTAATAATAACAAACATGTTAAAGTAGCGGTTAAGCAAATAATAATAAGTTATCATTTGTCAATGGTTGGATGACGTCATAACAATAAAGTCATACATAACAATAAAGTATAACCGCTTTAGTTTCGCTGGTTAGTTTTTGGTTTACTATAAAAAGTTTTTGTTTTTGTATTACTTTTAAAAGGAAGGATGGTGCAACGCGTTCCAAAAGGCAATGTTAAAATCAAGGTAGCAAATATTGTCGAATTTGACATAAACTATAACTTTAACTGACATTAAGGTGCTACCGAAACTAAGATACAACCTTCTTCCTTTAGCTGCATCGCGTCCAGGATCATGATGTGAAGAGTAGAGGTGGTGGCTTGACGAGTCTTCACCGTGATGGCGGTCCAAGGCCTGTCTCGCTGCAGCAAGCCCAACTGCCGGGTCACAACTAATCTGTGCAACAAATGCAGCGGGAAAATGTAATTTTTACGCAAATTTTAACATTAATATTCTTTATTTTACCTACACATATTGAAAAAGGAATAAATTTTTGAAAGTATAAATCTATGTTCTATTGAGAGTGAGGTTTTATTTTATACAGAATATTACAGACTAAGATCACGTGTTTATAATTAATTAAAACACGATATTGTTAAAACTACGAAACCAGACATAAGAAAGATAAGGCAGCTCAACCCCAATTTATCATTTGGTACTTGCAACCATTTGGAAGCCCCCCAGGACTAGAGACCCAGGCGGACCGCGCAATCCCCGTGCCCCCTTAGTCCGCCACTGTGAGGACCGAAAAGTATAAAATAAACGCAAATTGGACGAAAGATCCATAGCAAGCAAAGACTTATATAGTATCAGAAATCTTTGATCTCAATTCATGCTGTTGAGGAACGTCAGATCCGGCGTATATATGTTATGACTACTTATGACATTCGACCTTACACACTCGACGGATGTGCCGTCGCGTACTAAGAAATACCTCCGTGAAACGTTAAACGAATATTCCTTCAGGGACGCGACCGCGTGACGTCACTGAGCCATGACTCTTGCTATAAAATAAGACATATTAGCGAAGTTATGGCAATATTTTTATTCATTTTACTACTTTGACGTGGTTTTTATTAACTACTAACGAGTGGTAAATAATTAGGTTTATGGATTTGATAGTAGTGGGGCTAACTTAAGACATTTAATGCAAATTAATCCACCAAAAGATATGTCAAAGTAGTGAATGTAACGAAATATTGTAATACCATCGCAAAGATGTCATATCCTAAGTCGAAATTCAAATTTGTACCAACTCCATAACATATTATAAGCTATAAGTTTTGTCTTTAACTTACCGGTCAGCCTCCAATTTAGAATTGAGTGTCTCTTGAATCTGTTTGTTGTCTACCAATTGTGGTAGTAAGTTACACACTTCTTGTTCACCGGTAACAAAACCCTGATGAGATAAATTGCAAAATACATAACAGAACTCACTGAATCCTTTGGATGGATCCGATCGCACATCCATCAGAATGGAACGCGCCGAAGGAGGCGTAAGAGAATAATTTTAGATTTATTTGTAAATATATCTATCAACCATGAACGCACCAAATCGCCAGAATAGGGATATGACTCGGTAAAAAAAAAAGAAATTGTATTTATTCCGTCAGTCAGATAATAGAACCAAAATTAGATACGTATTTTTCTTTGCTTCAATTTAATAAGAAATTGATTAGATAATAGGCATTAAAGGGCAGGCGGTTAACTACGTCACAACTATGTAAAAATGTACAAAGATGTGACGTCATGCGATATTTCAACCCAATGTATCGCCGTAATTTATTGATTATAAATAAGTGTTTAATATTCTTCCATGATCTGGGTGGGCAGACAAAAAAAAAATCACCTGTCATTCATTTGCAAGAGAAAATTCATTTAATACGCCTTCTACGTCTCTGTTGAATATGCAATCACCGTAAGCCGGAATGCTCAGCTTGTTACACATAACGCGATCCGAAGGCAACTATCGCTAGATTACACACGCTAGATTATATATTATTTTAGTATTTACCTTACCGACGTCATAACCAAATGCCAATTGTATATCTATCATTCGATCGACATACGCCATTATTCTTGGAACTGACACCCTGTATAATAAAGAAATTACTATGTAGGTTACTAGCAGGGAACGGATAACCCATTCATAACGGTAACCGCTTATAAAGGTTACCGATTCATTCGCTTTACCGTTTGAAACGGTTGCAGATTGATACAGTTAACAGATTAAAAGTGTTTTTGTTTGAAACCGAAATGAAAGGGTAAACGGTATACAGTCTAAACCGAAATGAAAGGGTTATTAATTGAAACTGTTAACTTGTATTATCGGTTAACCCGAGTTTTTAGCGGTAATTCGTTTCGGTTAGGGTTAATAAACGAATTTAATTACCAAAGATATTTTTTTTTTCATGCTTACGAGCAACAGCTATTGTTACAGTTCTCCTACAAATAAATTAAAATTTCTGGTTAATCTGTCAATTCACCAAAGCGAGTTATTTAAGTTACTTTTGGGAAGCCAGTGTGTGTTTTTGAGTGAACATCAAATCAATATTTGTTAATTTTGTGCGAAAACACAGTGATCGGAAATCTCCACACAGTGAATAAAAATTTTCTCTAACCCTCAAGACAATCGGAATAATCATCGATTAAAACGCGTAAGTGACGCCCATAGCACGGCGCTTGCGCCCTTCTTCTCGCGAAGACTCAACCAACAACTTGTTTCAACGAGGCGGTCCTTTATTATTAGTGTGCTCATATCTTCGATCAACAAAGGCTCATATCAACGGTTACGAACGCGGCATAAAGCATCGCAGAGGTGACAACGCAACGTATCAAGATTAAGGGTATGTTCCGATATACACTGCGAGCACTGGTCTTACTGCTGAAAAATCCGTTCCGTTATGGACTGCCAGTACACTGCTACAGTACCCTAGGGAAATTTATGACGTCATAAATTGCCGCCATATTTTTACTGTGAGTACTGGAGATTTCGAGGTAAGGTGCTCGCAGTACTTTTGATCACGTGATCAGTCGAAACAGTTGTAAGTATTGTGCGCCATAGTTCAAACAATAATTTATTCACTCGGAGTTAATAAACAAATGAATTAAGAAGAGTTATAATATGGATTTAATTGATAAATATTTTTTTTATACAATTTTCCAATTTTAAAATATTTTCTTTTGAAAAGAGGGAATCTTTATATTTATATTCACCTTGTATTAACAAATTTGAAAATGGCGCCAAAAAATAGGATTAACGTACAGACCTTACAACATTCATAGTCAAACGGACTTCGTGAAATAGAATATCTGTACATACCTGTACGTTTGCCACGTATTTTTAAACCTATGACAAGGCTACCTCTCTCACAGAAATATAGTACTGAATTATTTGATTTGAGCAAAAAGAACAGAGGGCTTTTGCTTGACTTGGCGTGAACAATTCCGTGCCCCCAGACGTGTAACATACTTTGCTTATTTTATGAACGCGTTGTACCTATTTACGTATTATGATTATGTGCAAGTAATAGTCTCTACCTACATAGGTATATCGTCGCATATTTTTAAGGAAATAATAAGTATATGATGGGTACAGTAACTGTGATGATACCTATTTCATTTAAATGTTTGTTCACATAACTCACGATTCAAGTCATGAAATATCAAACACGTAAACATAACATAGGTAATAATCAAAACTCGGGGGGGACCAAAATAGCCTGATAGTTATAGTCAATTATTTAACTAACAAAGAAAGTTATTAAATCTTGGAAGTGAGTAAATCGATCATTAATTAGTGATAATCAGTGGTCGGAATTAGGTAGAGTTATTCATGTACTTACACTGATTTCATACAGCGAAAGAATAAAGTGGATATGCCTCAAATCCCGAGATTAATTTTAAAAAGCAGAGAAGATCCGGTGATTTTTTAAATAAAAAGTTATTTACTTTTACACAATTTAAACTACTGCACTCACGACGTTGCAAAACTTACATCAATGACATCGGATGTCCAAAGTTGCAAAATGCCAATACGCGCGATGTTGCCACATTTGTAGTTCGCACAACATAGCTTGTGAGAACAAAAGAATACAATAGCGCAAATGCGGAGCACTCCCCACTTAACGTAATGTACTAGATTGTGTCTCTTTCTAACGCATTCAAACTATATATTAGCAATGAATCGGTTTACTCATTCACTCAGCTCATTCGCTTACCTCGGTTCGTCGAATGCGCTCACTTGTTTCCTATTGTGTTTTATGTAGTCAATCCTGTTTGACCCTGGCTCGTTTACTGGATTCTGGACTCTACTTAATACGACTATTTCGGCACGCATTAACGGACTTT